TATTCATTACATAATATAATATGTTATTTATTTATATAAAACTTATAGTTATTTTTGAAAAATGGTATTTATATTTTATAGAAAAATATTAAAACCTTAATATATATATATAAAACCAAGTAATATATATATATATATATATATATAAACATTTTATACATAATATGTAATACTAACCTTTCCACATTAATGATATTATTTGTAGTATTTTATTATTTTCTTTATAGAACAAGTATAATTTTTTAATAAGAATTTTGAAATGGCATTTTTGATATTCGTAAAGAAATGTATATGACCTTTATAATATGCTCTATACTATATATACATAACATGTGTTAATATATATATATATATATATATAATCACACATAAAAATAAATATTCATCAAAAGCTTTTTTTAAATATATTTTGTAATTTTCTAGAGCGTAAGAATAGTTTATGCGTTTATATATTTATATTATAATTTAATAAAAAGAAAGAAAAAAAAAAAAAAAAAAATGTGAACATTTATTATTATATATATATATATATGTATAATATGTTTATGTAATTTTATATTTGTCTCATATATATAAATACGCACAGATATGTATCGTATATACAATAAAATAATAAAATAGTTGCATATAGCATATAATAATTTTTTATTAATTTTTTTTATTCTTTAAAAAATTCTACATATACTACTTTTAAATGGTATCAAATATTTGCCTTGTTTTTTATGTACCAAAATATATATATATATATATATATATATATGTCTTAATTACGTTTTTTTTTTTTTTTTCTTTTCCTTTATTATATAAGAATACACATATATTTCATTCAATATAAAAGTAATTTAATTTATGTAATTAGAAAATATATATAATTTAATTTTTTAATTTTTTTTTTTTTTTTTCCTTCTATTGGCAACTGTGTATACCTGAATCTGTACTTTGAAATATTGCGAAATATTTACATTATATATATATTTATACATATATTTATGGATTTTTTTTTTTTTTTTTTTTAAATATACATTATTTAATATTTATATGATACATAAGAATACAAATGAATTTGCTTTATCTAAATATATAACAAAGAACATACGCAAAAAATAAAAAAATATATATATCTAAAAGAAATATAATATTTTGTACTTGTTTATTTTATATGTTTCCTTTTTTTTAAGATACATAAATATTTTATAAGTATTTTATTCAAATTATAAAGATTGAAAAAAAAAAAAAAGATAATAATTTAAATGAACTTATATATATATATATATATATATAAATGTATAGTAAAATTTACATATACACAAATGTATAATTACATGGAATATTTTTATTTAAAATTATTTTAATTTAATGTCTTGTTTTTATATATATATTCAAAGTTATACATATATATATTTATATTTATTTATCTGTCAATAATAAAATATATATTATTGTATGCTTATATATATTTATACATATTAATATATTAATTCATATTTATATAGTGCAAGATTGAAATATGTGACGTATCTTATATTGTCTTTATCATTTTATATATTTAATAAATATTTAAATGAATATGTATACATTTATAAATATATTTATAATATTATTTTTTTATAAATAAAATTTTGTCCTCGTGATAATTCTTTGTTATATAATAAAATACTGTTTATTTTTTTTTTTTTGAATATATTTTGAACCGTGATATTGCCTATTTTTATTGTTATGTACTTTTTTTTACTTATATGTGTAGAACTATTTTAAAGTATATAATTGGATATTGTCTTATTTCATTTTTTTTTTTTACTATTTAAATTTAAAATAAAAAAAAATTGTGGAATGAAATATGTTTATTTTTTTATTCTTCTATATTTTTACATTTTTACATTTTTGCACACTTGTTATATAAAATAATTTTCTAAATTGTGTTTTTATATATATATATATACTGAAAATTATATACTTTTTTAAATAAATATATATATATATATATATATATATATATATTATTACATTATACATATAGTAACATAATATTACAAAAAAGAAAAGAAATAAAAATAAATAAATATATAAATACATATATAATATTTTGATAAATCCTTTTGTATATAAAAAATATTTTTATTAAATATATATAAATATGATAATACAATTTTTTGTCTTATAGTTTATTACCCCGATCATTATATAACACATACATATAAAAAGAAAAATTATACATACATTTATATTATTATATATTTATAGTACATTTATGCTCATGTTATTAATATTATATGCTTTATTATAATAAATACATTTTATATAAAATATAAAAATAAATAAATATTTAGAAATTACATATTACATAAAATGCATATTTTCTTTTCCCTTTTGAAATGAACGTATTTTTAATATTTACATATCTGTCACCTAATTATAATATGCATCAAAAATTTAATAAAATATATTAATAAATTATGAATGTATTATTTATATACTATTTTTATGACAGCTTAATATATGTAGATACAAACTGAAAGAGATATATATTTTATTACTTTATAATTCTTTTTATTATTTTTTTTTTTTTTTTTACATATAGTAAGAGCGTGTGACATTTTAATCTACATAATAAAAAGGATATACATACAGATAATGTTAATATTAAATATATTAATATTATTTATATATCAGTGTAATATTATTAATTATGAATATATATATATATATATATATAGAGAGACTTATGAAATTATTTTATTTTTCTTTTTATATTCTAAATATATTCTAGAATTATACATATAAAATACAAAAAAATATTAAGTAAAATAAAATAGCACTGTTCTATGTATATAATACATATATATATATTATATTTAATGAAAAAAAAAGATTTCATTCATATACTTATTATATATTTAAATATCTGTTATTAATTATTATATATAAATTATTAATAAGCCATGTTATAAAATTGTTGTAAAGAAAACGACTTATATTTTACATATTATTAAGAACAAATAGTTACATATAAGTTTATATAGAATAAAATATAATTCATATTATGCAAAATAAATAAGTACATAAATATAAATATATAAATATATAAATAAATAAATAAATAAATAAATAAATAAATATATATATATATATATATATATATATATATATATGCGTAAATGCATTTTTTTTTAAGGATTTTTATCTGTACATACAAATAATATTACATATGCACATATATACATATATATATATATATATATATATATATATATATATATATATATGAAAATATATGCTTATTAATTATCCTTTTTTTATAATTGACTCTATATATATATTACATATATGTGCATTATTTTATATTTTGTATTTTTTTTTTTCTTTCCTTAAAAATTTTGATCTATATATGTGTTACATTAAAGTTACAAATTTACAACGCGTAACGAGTTGTAATATAAAAGAACAAAGAAAATAAAAAAAGAAAAAAAGAAAAAAAATAATAAAAAAAAAAAATAATAATAATAATAAAATATAGAAATATACATGTATTTATATATGATTATATACGATATAATAAAATATATTATTATATAAATACATTTATTTTATTAATATTATTTTGTATATATATATATATATATATATATATATATATATATATATATTTTAATGAGAATATATAAGATAATACGTGCAGATTAAAATTGAAAGTATGTTTATATACATATATATAATTACATAAAATACAAATTTCTTGTATATATATTAGTTTTTATTTTTATATAATAAAAATTTCTTCCCTATATATACATATAATATACAATATATATGTACATAATATTTAACCTCAAAATATTATATATATATATATTACTTATTTCCACAGTTTTCTGTTAATACATATATATATATATATATATTTATGCATATATTTTTATTCTAATTTACATGGAAGAATATAATAGAAATAATTAAAATATATATATATAGTCGTTATTTTTTAATTTATTTTTTTTGAAATTACAGAAAATACTCCTTTTATATAAAATAATAGAAAAATATAATTTATTATTATTATATATATATAATATATTTTTTTTATATTGTACTTTTTTTTTTTTCTTTTTTCTTATATATATATATATATAAATATATATGTACATTTTCATTAGAAAGGTATTATATTTTATTAATTTTTTGCATGTAAAATTCAAGGAAGGTGTATATGTTTATATTAATATATAATAGAAAATAAGAAATATAATGTATAATATATAAAAAGGGGGAAATGTATTTTTTTTCCTGAAATAAAAAAAAAAAATAAAATTATAATAAAAAAAAAAAAATAATATATATATTGGAAAACATTATATTTGATACGTATATATTATAATATTATTAATTTTTATATTATTTATTCAGAGAATACGTTTATCTATATGTGAATAAATAAATATATGTATATATATATATATTTATTTATTTATAGTTATATTTATCCTGAGTATGTAATAAATTTTATAAAAATATTTATTATCTATATTTACGTACCTACATATTGATACACCGATATACATATATTATATATTATATATATATATATATACATATATATTTTAACTCAGTTGTTAAAATAATATTTTTGTATCTACAAAATATGAATGAGAATAAATATATATATATTTCATTTATACAAAAGTGATGGAAAAATAGTTTTGTGCATAAAGAACAAAAACATAGTTCTAACAATTGCATTTCTTTTTTATACATATATATATATATATATATGTTAAATTGACGTGTTGTAATTTACTTTTTTTTTCAATATATATATATTTATTTATTTTACATAATTTACGTATGTTACATAATATAAATTCTTTTTTACATTTTTACAACATATATATATATATATATAAGAGTTTAATTATGTTTTTATATATATAAAAGAACAATTTTTTTTTTTATATGTTATTTTCAAACAAATAAAAATATAAATGTTTCTTCATATTAAACCATAATTATATATGTATATATGTATTTATTTATTTATATATTATTAATTTTTTTTTTTTTTTGAGAACAAAAATAACTAAAAGATAAAAAAAAAAAAATAAAATAATAAATGTACACAATATAATATATATATATATATTCAAGTGGTAAATATATATATATATATATTTTTACATGTTAATAAAAAAAGGAAAAATATATATTCATTTATAATATTATTTATAATAGTATTTTTTAGGTAAATCCATATATTTCCCTTTATATATTAATTTTTTTTTTTTTTTTTTTTTTTCTATGTAGTTTCAAAGAAAATATATATTTTAATATGGAAAATAAATAATTATATATAATAATATATATATTTATATACAAATATGTGTTTCTATTTTTTCTCTTTTTTTTTTTTTTTTTAAAAAGATTTAAAAGAAGAGATATAATGTGATTTTTTATAATATACATATATAATTTTTTGTTATTTATGATTATATTTGAAAATTGAGTTGATACTATCAATTATGTTTATATACATAATATAATTTAAATATTTATATAAAAATATAATATTATTATATATATATATATATATATATATATATATATATATATGTATGTATATAATATTTCTATAATTTTATTTGTTACATTTTTATTTATAAATACGAAATGTTTTGAATAATTTGTAATAAAATATCTTGTGTCACACTGATAAATATATATATATATATATATATATATGTATATATTATGGATCTATAATATGTATACCAATTTTTTGGATCTACAATATGTATACTTTTTTTTGGGATCTACAATATATATGCATTTTTTTGATCTATATTATGTATATATACCTTTTTTGGATCTATAATATATATATATTATATTTTATGGATCAACATTATATATATATATATATATATATGATTAATTCTTCGTATAATACTGTATAAGATTAAGAGTACCTTTAAATTATTATATTTGATTATATTATATTATATATGTTTATTTTTCTTTCCTTTTTTTTTTTTTTTTTTTTCTTTTCTTTTCTTTTTTCTTCCCATTTTTGTGTACATTTTTTCTTTTCTTTTTTTTTTCTTCTCTAAGTGTTGTAAGAAAAAAAAAAAAAATTATTCATATATATCTATATTAAAATATATATAGAAAATTTAGTTGTCATTAATAAAATAGATCATTATAGATTAATTTTTTAAAAGATATTTATGTTTGTGTAAGTTTATAAATTTAAGAGAAAATAAAATATTTATTATTATATATATATGTATATTTTTATATATGTATTTATATAATATATATATTTTCTTATTTTATTTTATTTTTATTTTTTTTTGCCCCCTTAATTATTTTATATGATCTTATATTCCATATAAAATTCTTTTAACAATATTTTTTATAAAAAGTAGTACACATGAAAAAAAAAAAAAAAAAGCCATTGAATATATACATAATTTTAATATGTTTTACATGCATATAATATATAAAATTTTGACACTACTTTAAATAAAAAGAAAATATTATTCTATATAATTATATATATATATTTATAACTATATATTTTTACAGTACTAAATACTTTTCCATATATATATATATATATATATAATATATATATTTAATTATTTAAAAAAAAAAAAAAAAGAATATATATTTATATATATTTTTATACATATACAATTTATATTTTAATGTATTATATATAATATTATATATATATATATATATATATAATAAGTTTGAAATAATTTACGAATGGATACCTTTATAAAAAAGTAGTACACAATGAATTTATAATTCATCTACATAATTTGTACAGATATATTTTTTGATTATACATATAAGAAGAAATATTTACAACATATTATTATTATAATATATATGTATACATTTATATTTATGGTCATTTTATATATTTTATTATATTTTATTTTATTTTTTTTTTTTTTTTTCATATGTTTTAGTATTTAATATATATAAATTTATTCACATATATATTATTTAGTGACAACTCCCAAAAAAAGTTAATAAAAAAAAAAAAAGAGAGATAAAGAAAAAGAAAAAGAAGAATTTTAAACATAAAAATTTATAAAATCATAAATAAAAGGTACCAAATAAAAAAAAAAAAAAAATCATTATTTTGTGACAGTAATATATATATTTGTATAGCTGGAAATTTAATAGGATTTTTTTTTTTTTTTTTTTTTTTTTTTTTTTTTATATGCATATAAAGAATATATTAGGAAAACATAAATATTATAAATAAATAAATAAATAAATAAAAACAAATAATTATATATATATATATATTTTTGTATGTAAATATATTTATTATATATGTATGTAGAAATTTTTTTTTTTTTTTTTATTTGAATTTGTTTTCCAAAAAATACAGCTACATTATTAATACAATAATATATATATATATATATATATATTTATATATTTATATATTTATTTAGTTTTTTTTTTAATTTTTTTATATATATTTTTATATGTAATAATTATCCATAAAATATTATTTTGTAACATATATTTAAATATATATGGTAATAATATTTTGTATTATTTATTAATATATATAATATATATTTCTATATATTTATACGTTTATAATAAATAATACAAAAAAGTTGACAATGATGAGTGATGCAAACAAAAGACAGTTAAGAACGAGAAGAAAAAAAACTATGAATTCTTTATATTATAATAGTGATTATAGTAATGATATAAGTATAGAAGATTCTAAAAGTAGATTAAGTGGTGGCAAGAAAAGTGAGGGTAGTTCTAGTAAATCAAAAGATGTTACATCATCTTATACTAAGAAATATAGCCTTAATAATAAAAATAATAAACACAGTAAAAATATTATGCATCATAAAAATATTATTTATAGTGACGAGTATATGAATAATATCAATGAAGACAATGAAGAAATTAATGAAAATCATTTGTATGACGAAAATAATGATAATAATATGAATGATGATATGAATGAAAATAATATAATAGATGAAGATGAAAATGAGAATGAAAACACAAATCTTGTAAATATAGAAGATGGAAATATTAATGATGATAATAATAATGAAAATAATGATAATATTGAAGACATGACTAATGACATGAATAATAATGTTAGTCATAATAGTATTATTAGCAATGATAATTCATATAATGATCAAATAGATAGTACATTTCCTAATATGAATAATAAAAGAAAAGATGAGGAACATATAAATAACGATGATGAATATATTCATAAAAGTAAAGATAAGAAAAAAAGTGGATCATTAGTACATATAAAAAATGAAAATACCAATAAATTAGATAATAATAATAAAAATAAAAAAGATAGTGTAAGCGCAAATGGATCTAATAAGAATAATTGTAATACGTCTAGTAGTAATAATCGTAGTAGACATGTACCTAATAATAACGAAATAAATTATGCAAAAATGGCTGAA